GAAGAGTCAGAGTCCACATATACGATTCCAGTTTTGCCTAACCTTGTTGGAGGGAAGCTTCGTCTTAAGAAGAGTTTGTTTTAGGATAATAAGCTAGGGCAAAGGGGATAATCAGCTGGGGCATAAAAAGATTTTGTCTCTCCTAAAGTGGTCTATCAAAATTTTTATGTCACATCAGATTTGAGAAAAAAACTCGTTCGATCTCAAATAATGAGATGAATATAAATAAGGTTCAGTACATTTTCCATTCAGGAAAACAAACACAATCTATACCAGTCAAAGTTAATTTCTTTCAGATCTGGCCAAACATTAGTATGCGACAAAACATCAACATGTGTATGTTAACCGTGCACAAAAGGTCTGGAACTAGCAACAGAATAGAAATCCCTTTTCCTGCATTTAATGGCTTATTTATTTTTGTCCTTTATGAAACTAGTTGAAACTTTGTGACAATGTTTAGTAATGGGAAGCACAAGTCCATGGAAATTTTGAGAACAAATTTATTTTACAAGATATTAAGTACTTTTAATCTGAAAATGCAGTTCTATTTCATGACTAGTTCCAGTCGTTTTCCATGTTACCAGATATAAAGTTTGTATTTTTGTGCATTTTTCTCTATTTTTGTCCGGAGTATAAATACTGGTACGGTTTATAGTGCGGCTCAGAATGCAGAAAATGCAAATTTTGGGCTACAATTTTCAACACTTTCCCGGGGGAGCCCCGTCTCCAACCACAATCAGCCTTCCATGAGGCTCAAACACCCTTAAAAAAGGCCCTGGGATGCTGAGAAAATTCTGAAGGGTCCGAACGAAACGTATCCGTCGTCCATAGGGGATAAACATACATACACCTACATAATTCTGAGGGGTGCCTGTTTGGTAGAAATATTTCTGGGGGGCTATCACTATCAGAATACATAGATAGAAAACATTTTATTTAATCACGCTAACCCCATTCCATGAGGGGTGTGCGAGAATAAAATAACTATTTCTGGGGGTATATCACAAAGCTAAAAAAATTCCGAGGGGATTCAGAAATGACCTCGTCCATAGGAACTAAACAAGATATGCTTGCATATTTCTAAGAGGTCGCCTGTTATGGAGAAAGATTTCTGGGGACTATCAGGGGTAAAATAACTATATTTCTGGGGGTATACAATGAAGCTAAAAAAAATCTGAGGGGTTTCACAAATATGTACCTCGTCCATAGGGGCTAAACAAGGTATGCTTGCATATTTCTAAGGGGTTGACTGTTCTGGAGAAAGATTTCTGGGTGACTATCAGGGATAAAATAAATTATTTCTGGGAGTATACAATGAAGCTAAAAAAATTCCGAGGTGTTTCAGAAATATGTACCTCGTCCATAGGGGCTAAACAAGGTATGCTTGCATATTTCTAAGGGGTTGCCTATTCTGGAGAAAGATTTCTGGGGTGTTATATATAAAACAACACATTTCCAGGGGTATACGATGAGCTAAAAAATTCCGAGGGGGGTGAAAAATATATGCCTCGTACATAGGGGGGTGTATATTAAATGGAATGGCCCGTATGAAATCGGGAAATTGTCTTTGGCATGTTCAGGGGGTAGGCACTCTGAGTGTTGCTACCGTTGTGAAGTCATTTGGCTCACCAAGTGTGTAAAAATTATGTTTTGGTTATTTAATAAAATGCGACAAAAATTGGTTATTTGATATAACCAAATCAAATCATGAATGTAAAGAATTGGTTATTTGATATAACCAAATTAAATCATGAACGCAAAGAATTGGCCATTCGATATAACCAAATTAAATCATGACAGCAAAATTGGTTATTAACCAAATTGCGTCAAGTTTATTATTTGATATCAGCGCAAAATACAAATTGGTTATTTGATATAATAGAGTTCATTGGTTATTTCAAGTAACCAAAGCAGATATTTTGGAAATATGATATAATAAAATAAATCAGCCAAAATATCTTTGTATTTTATCTAAATAATAAAAATACATTTGGCGCCTCATATGATACATGTAGTTCAGCCTGCAGTTTCCTTTTCTCAGCTTTCATAGTTGATACTTCTTTACATATGGAAGAGGTGGCCTTGTATTGTTGAACATTGGCAAACTTTTCTCGCAACTTTTCGGCAAACTGTAAATGGGTAGTCAAGTCATTGAGGTCCTTTTTGACTTCCAAGATTTTCATTCCCCTTAGTTCACTTGAGTATATAGCGAGGTCATTTGGGAGCTGAAGTGCTGGACGAGGTGGCTTGCTCTCCAAAAGACTTAGAGCAGGAAGCTTTTTTCTTCTTTTCAAGATGGAAAATAACTATATATACAACTATATAACTATAAATAACAGTGCTATTTAAAGCTGGCGAAATTTCTGATCTTAACAACTATCGATCTATCTCTATTTTACCTGTGCTTTTAAAGATCATTGAACGACACATAATTTATTTGCACACATACAATTACATAGGGAAAAAATACAATAAAAATAGAAAAGTTTACTGTGAAATAATGTGCAAAATCACCTATAATAACCAGCGGCGGCGGAACAGATTTCGTTCTGGGGGGGCTAAATTTTTTTCCGGCGACCGCCCCCCCCCGTCGCCAAAAAAATTTCGGTCAGTGTACCACTTTAGGGGTCCAATATACAAAAAAAAAGGGACGAAAAAATTTTTTTCGGACTTATATCAAAATTTTTTTTCGGAAATACACTTTTTTTAAACAAAATATTGCAAATTTGTCCCCTTATACCTAAATTTTCAAAAAATAACCTAAATTTTTCCCTAATTATCAAAATTTTTTCAAAAAATTCAAATTTTCTGGGGGGGCTAAGCCCCCCCCCCTTCTACTTCTGGGGGGGCTTTAGCCCTGATAATAACCATAAAGGACTAATCTAGATAGGTGATATGCTAAACAACAATGTCTATAACTTAAGTGCACGCATAATGAGTAAGGTAGAGGAAAATGACTGTCTGTTTTACTATCCTTACTATAAATAATCTGATATACTCCAATCTAATCCAGATTTCGAAGCGAGTTTGCCACAGAAACTGCTGTTGCATTTATCGTTGACTCTCTTTTAGTCAACCTGGATAAAAATCTCATTAATGGCATGGTCCTAGTCGACTATAAGAAAGCCTTTGACATGGTTGATCACAGTATCCTGCTTCATAAACTTGGAGCATACCATCTTAATCAGAGCTCACTCGATTTGTTTAAATCCTATCTATCAGACCGTAAACACTATGTTAACTTCAAAGGCCAGTCTTCTACAACAAAAGTAATCACAGAATGAGTACCACAGGATTCTATCCGTGGGCCTCTAATGTTTCTCGTTTTTATCAACGATTTGCCTCTACATATCAACACTCAAGTAGATTTATTCCCTGATGACACTACCTTACTCACTGCCACTGATTACAATGATATTAATGAGAAATTATCTCTAGAAGTCTCTAATGTTGAAAACTGGGCCATTACCAATAAGCTGCCTCTCAATACCACCAAGACTAAAACCATTCTGATTTCTGGTAAATGTCTTAAAGCTAAGCTTACCCCTGAAAATCAAACTCTCAATATTAAATTGAATGATGATTCATTAGAACAAGTGCACACTGTGAAATTACTGGGCTTTAATATTGACCAAGATTTAAACTTTGACACTCATGTTGAAATAATGGCAACGCAACTATTAAAACATATTGGGATATTGAAGTCTATAAAATCTTATCTGCCTCGAAACGAACATATACTTTTCTACAATGTTATGATCAAACCTCTATTTCTCTATTGTAGTATAACCTGGACAAACTGTAGTAAGAGCAATATCACAAACATTTTCAAGCGTCAAAAACGCTGTGCCAGAATTATCCTTGATGCTGAGCCTTGCCACTCCTTGATTAATCTGTTTAATAATCTTGGTTGGTTACCTTTTTACGTAGAGTCAGATATCAGAAAATGTATTATGACCTACAAGCGTACTATTAATGCTACTCCAGAGTACTTAAACAGACTATTAAATTTAAATAGCCAACAACATTCGAGGAACACTTGCAGTGCTGATTGATGTTTAGTAACTCTGAAATACAATAGAGCTACAGAAGCAGGAAGAACTCTTTCTTTTACCGCTATAGGCCTCTGGAACAAATTACCTTTAAGTTTCCATTCTGCTAGCTCCATTAACTGTTTTAAATACTTATTATATAATTGCGTTCATATGCATCAGAGTGAATTTAAACAATTTACATCTTTTCCTGATTTCAAATTTAAGTAATATATAGTTGTAATATAGCTAATGTTCTCTTTTATATAAATGTAATGTCATATATAGCTCGTGTAATATAACCTTTTTAAGTAAACTTGAAAGTCTAAATACTGATTTATAATCATAGATATATATAAATGTTGTAAATAGACAATAGATATAGTCCTTAATTTTTGTAAATTTTATGAGGGCCACAAGTTCATTACTACTTCGTACTATTAAGTGTCACCCTGTTTAAATAAAGTCTCTATCTATCTACCTATATTGATAGCCATCATTATGTACTTTCTTTCTTGCTCCATCCAGCAGTTTTCCAAGATTGTAAACTAGAGAAGCAATCTGTATGATGCTTCATTAATTAATAGCCTTTTCATATGGTGTTAATGAAATAAGAATAGAAATCTTTATTTACCCACGTAAAAACTCCTTCACAAAAGTACTCTTCCAGAGTGACGTGCATTAACTATATATACATAAATAAAGTTACAAAACTAACTAGAAAATACATGCATGCAGAAACCCTCGCCTTGCTGACAAAACCATTGTATTTTCCGAACATGAAGTATCTAAAGTTGTTGTCATGGTAACACGATAAATTTTTAAGAATATTCTTACAAATGAAAAATCGCCTAAAAATATCACTTTTAATTACAAAATTGTCAATTTCCCAACATGTATACGTTAGGTATGATATTATACGTAATATAAGCTTCAATTTAAGGTAAAATTCAACCACAAAGTGTTCTTTATCAGTAAAACTAAACTGCCTTTTAATGAATTGGCTTTAACGATAAACGTTGGGTTTGCAATAAAATGATTTCAAATTCTCGCATGCAAATAACTTTGCTTTATTTTTTTATTTAAAAAATTCAATATAATAAAAAAGGGAATCAATATTAAAGATACACTGAAATTATATGCTGTCTGGTTTAGTTGTTTCATATACGCAAAGCCAAAGGCCGTCGGGTTTTAAATTAATTTAAAGCAATTATAAAATCAATATTTAAAACAAACTTACCTTTGTTAATGTCGGCTCCCTTCTTTTAGCCGATTCTTTCGCCCTTTATTTCTTAAAATTTACAAAATCTTGCAAATTAAAAATGAAATGTATTTGCAAGAAATTTATCAATCATCAAATCAAGAAATGTTTGCTATTTTGCTGTTGTCATGCAGTCGTTATAATGCAAACTTTAAATTGGACCAATCAGTGTCCACTATTCATGACAGTCCGCCATATTTTTGAGATCAGTGAGGATGACCACCCACCGAACCCACTCACGGTAACCCACGCCTGCGCTCATTGATGAACTTTAGACTTGGCTAATGCTTTCATTTTCCCGGGTGTAAATAGCCGGGGGGAATTAGTACCCTTGCACGGCGCTTCGCGCTGTCGACTCAGGGATGACATGAAAAATTAATATAAAACTATAATATAATATCATACTGTATAGGCTATTTGCTATTGGAGAGTTACACACTAAATTTTAGCGACCTCTTAAATTCTGTTAGCGAATTAGCCAAGCGAACATGTCTTGGAAGAGAATTCCAGATTACAGCTCTGCTGTATGAAAAACTCTTTTTGAGAAGATTGCTCTTTGGTTTTGGAGGTAAAAGATTTAGATCAGAGTTTTGCAAATCATGATCATGTACTTGATTGGTTTCGCGAAACAAATCTTTTAAATACTCAGGAGCCAAGTTGTTAAGCACTTTGTACATCATGATAGCTTTTTTAGTTCTTCGCTCATGAGCAAGTGCACGCCACCTAAGTTCAACAAGTAATTCACTAGATGAAGCGTCATACACGCTATTTGTGATGATTCTGGCTGTTTTGCAATTTTTGCAATTTTTGGGATAGGCCATCAGACAGAGTGTCCCAAACTGCGCTACAATAGTTTAGTCGTTGTTCAACTAAGCTATGGTAAATTAGTAACAGATTTTGTCTGGACATGAAAGAGCTAACACGTCGTATCATTTTTAAAGCTTGAGTAATTTTTTCGATTAATTGACAGGTGTCAAGATTCTTTTCTTAGTGTGTACCACAAACAGAATGTTCTGTTGAAATGTTCAGAGTGTTTAGAGTGTGCATAGAAAAGGTGGAGCCTATATTTATATACATTTTGATATTTTAATTTTGGGATAGGATTATATTAGGACCTCTGTGGTGGCCCAAAAGGGACAACACCATTCAAAACAAATTCACAACAAACAAAATATATTTTACTGCAAACACAAAATTAATTTCTAATTCACATACTCGCAAACTAATAGTATAGTGAAAACCACTGCAAACAAAATATAGATCACACGCTACAAACAAATTATAAAGCACACTACAAACAAAATATAAAAGCATGCTGCAAACAAAATATAAAGCATGCTGCAAACAAAATATAAAGCATTCTGCAAACAAACTTATTAACGCACGCTGCAAACAATATGAAAGCATGCTGCAAACAAAATATAAAGCATGCTGCAAGATATTTAACAATTACTTGTTTTTGTGATATGCGGAATTATCAAGATTGAGGTAAGTGTTATCAGCTGAGCTGAAGGCGAGGCCGATAACGCTTACAGAGACCTTGATAATTTTGCATATCGCAAAAACCAAATTCAATCATTGTTTTATACATTTGTTTGTATTAAATACATAACGCTTGTTAAATAGATACTGCTTGCTAATCGTCGCAGGCTCATTTTAGCAGATAACTGAATTTTCTGTAGGTTGTGTGATTTAACTGCTTTTAGCCAATTAAATTGCTTTTACCAACTACAATGTATAATAACAACTATTACTATAAAACAGTAACAGTAAGAATTGCGGTTGTTTCGCCAACTGTCAGTTTGCCAACGTCTTGGGTTGATTTTCCATGAAAACCTAAGCCTTAAAACTAACCTTACTGTAAGTCCAAAGCTAGCCCTACAACTAAAGCTAACCTTAAAAGCAACCTTACTGAACCCAAGACGTTGGTCAATTGACGGTTGGAGAAATGACTTGTAGGCGAACAATAGGATACTAATATTTGAGAATATATTTACAAATTTAATATAACACGATGAGAATATATTTCTAAACATTTCAAAAAGTTTTTACTGACTTTTTAATGCTTGTCTGTACATTTCTTGTAGATGGGTCAACTTCTTGACTCAAGTTTGAATGCCAAATCTTTTCAGCCCCTCCTGTAGTTCATCTGCTGACATTGTATCTGAAACATCAACTTTGCTGCTTTAAGCATCCTCACAACTCTGTTGCAATTGACGTTTTTGCTTTGTCTGCTTTTCATTAAAATCACTATCCCAGTAAACAGATTTCCTCTTGTTGTATTCCCTTCGTGTATGTTGATGTTCAGTAAGTGTTTTCATTCTCTTCATCACTCGTAGAACATCTCCTGCAGCATCCCATAATTGGCAGTCATCTATTCTAACAGGCAAAGCCAAACTTATATAATTTAATAAGCTCACCTTGCCCTGTAAATTTTTTCATCCCACCATGCATTCGCATATTAAAGTTTGGTACATGGTACACCATACAATGCATGTAAGGGGTAACATTTGCCTTCGCACATCCATCGCAAATCCCTCCAGCACCTTGAATTGTGTTGAAAAGTGATATCCACTTCTTAGCCTTTAAAATATTAAAAAGTTTAAAAATTACCTATTGGAAAAACTGTACAGAAATGTGTTTTTAGATTTAATTTCTGACTTCATTATATACAATAATATACCTGTCCAAAGTAGTCTGTGATAAATTCATCACTTGTATCTCTTGTCTCAATCATTGTGTATAGATTGCCAAAACCCTAATAATGCACATAAACCAGATAAAATATATACAGATAAATAGAAAGACTATATGCTTGTATCATGTAAAACATGTTTTTGAACATAATACCTTCCGATCTTTATCACAGAGGAACTTGCATCTGACTTAATTACACCAGGCAATTTTTTGTGAAGGCTCCAAAAGCAGTTTTTTATCATTCCCCATTAAGCTTGTGAAATCATATGTTCCACTCCTCTTGCCATCTGTATCCTTTTTCTCCCATACTTGAAAACAAACTCTGCAGTTGTTTATAGCACCTATTAGGGCATCTAGGTGTGCAGTTGTCCTTTCACATGGGCATTTGTTCATATTGTCTGCCTTATCCCAGTTGATAGCAGCTGAAACCAGATTTTTGGTCAGGACATCAATAGTATCGGTATGAACACAAAAAGGAATAATTTGAATTACGGTCTCAAAAATATTTCACCTAGAAAGTTTAATGTGACTTATATACATGTTAAAATATCAGGTCCTGGGGAAGGGGTATCTTTCTTTAGAGAATATTTTAGCCTGTAACTGAAATTCATATAGATTGCCCAAATCATACAATGTAATACTAATCTCACCTGTGATTCTAAGCATGAGATGAAGCTCATCAAGAATGATATTCTCTAACTGTGTCTCTATCAAGGGCTGATAAACACAAGACAATTTCTGTTCCAATGTACATTTCTGGATTTCAGTCAGAGATCTTGGCATGGGTTTTTGACCATAATAGTTCTCTGGCTTGGACATGTCAAACCTAAAATATAATCATCAATTGTTTTTGACTTTTCCATATGCAAATTTGTGCAGTTTAACCTCCTGACACTTGTGAAACTCTGGAAGCTTAAGTCATATCGGTATATAGTAGTGTGAACATTTGCTTACAGGTAAGTAAGGGATGGTGTAATAATGTGTGTAGCCTACAAATGGACACTGGCATGTTTTAACTTCGGATAGATCAGTCATTTGAGAAGGGTAGCCTGGTAGGGTTTAACTAGGGCTAATAAGATATCAGAATTTAATTTGCAAATTAATCTGTTAATTAATGACTGTATCAATGACCATGTTAGCCACCGGAGACCGGCGTATTACCCTTTTTGAAGGTGAAAGAAATCATCTTCTTCCTTTGCACTCCACAGATGCCTTGGAGTCAAATCTTTACTTCTATGTTGGAAGGATGATAGCGCATACATTTCTGCACAAAGGTTACCCTTTCGTGGGTATGGCACAAGCAGTTGTTCAGTATATTTTTTCACAAAGTATTGAGTCTATTCCGCTTATTTCTATAAAGGATGTTCCTGACCTTACTATTCGGCAAGATATTGAAAAGGTAAAGTAAGTAACTGTATTCCAAATGGACATATGCAGCATAATATAGGACCGTTCCACCAGAAAAAAAAATGCACGAGAAGTGTCTTGATATAAGACACCACTTTACCTAGTATATTTTCAACTATAATTAGCATAATTCAAATTGGAAAATCAGTGGTGTTTATGTTTTGGAAAGGAAGGGCCTCTTGCAGTTAGAACAACCATATCCAGATGTACAGTAGATGCAAGACGGCCATTTTGCAATTCCATGACTATCAATTTGTATTCAGTATTTTTTCTTAGATAATGAATCCAAAAAGCGACAAACTGTTGGATGTGAATGCTTGTGACAAAATCATTACACTTCTCAGTACGAGTGGTTTTGTGAATAAAGTTTTAACTACAGAAAACCAAGAAAAAGCAGTTCAAGACATCCTTGTCTACCATGTGCTTCGAATATGACGAGCTGAGATTGATGAGATCCGCAGGGGTTTGGATTCTGTCAGGTTAACATCGTTTCTTAAATGTAATTCATTCATCATTAATTTATTATTATTATTTATTATTTATTATTATTATTGGAACTTTACTGGACGCTGGGAAACAAACTGACGTGATCTACATGGATATGTCCAAAGCCTTTGATAAAGTTAACCACCAAATTCTTATTCATAAACTTTACAACTGCTTTGGCATCTCTGGTAGTTTACTCGGTTGGTTCTCCTCCTACTTGTTGAACAGAAGGCAACGCGTGACTGTTCTAGGGGCTACATCATCTGAAAAACCTGTTATATCTGGTGTCCCTCAAGGTTCTATCCTGGGTCCAATACTCTTTCTCCTTTATGTTAACGACCTACCTGATGTGGTGAATAATGCAAAAGTAGTTTCTTTTGCTGACGACACAAAATTATTCAAGTGTGTCGATTCTCACATAGACGGTGCCTCGATTCAAAGTGATCTTGATAATCTTGAGGAGTGGTCGACCTCTTCTGGACTTGTATTTAATCAAAATAAATGCAAGTGTCAGAGAATTACCAGGAAAAAGACTACCACCGAATTCCCCTACACCATCAAAAACAAAACCCTCGCAGTAACAACAGAGGAGAAGGATCTTTGCGTTTGGGTTACTAGTAATCTGACATGGTCCAAACACACCCTAGATCGATGTGCCGCAGCCAATAGGATGCTCGGGTTCGTACGTAGATCTGCAATGGAAATCACGGATAAAAGGATTCGCCGTGCATTGTATTTGGCAGTTGTGCGACCAGCGCTGGGCTACGCCGCTCAAGTGTGGTCGCCGCAGTCGGTGGAGCTCATCAACCAAGTGGAACGTGTTCAACGCCGAGCTTCAAAGTTTATTCTAGGACTCCCATTCATGTGTGATGTATCCTATAAAGACAGACTCATTTCGACAGAACTTCTTCCCCTCTCATTTTGGCATGAATATTTAGACTTAATGTTTTTCTTCAAAGCTATTACTGGCATTTTTATCGATATCTCAAAATTCCTTACCTGAACGTATTGCTCCCGCAAGAGTCACAAGATCATCTGCTAATGTCAACGCAATCTCATTCCGTCAACGAAAACATAAAACAACAACTTATAATCGATCATTCTTTCTTCGAACAACTAGAACTCATTCTTTCTTCGAACAACTAGAACTTGGAACTCTCTCCCGGAGCATTTAAGGCTTATTAATCTATCTTTTATTCAATTTAAGAAAGGAATATTAGCATACTACTTGACTGCATTACGATCCTGCTACAACGTTGACGATCCACGAACTTGGAAGACTGTCTGTGTCAAATGTAACAAAAGCAGAAGTCTCATCCGACCATTAACTTGCTGTTACTAGAGGGGCGTTTGCACATTGAGATTTGTCCTGTGCAATTCGGATTTTGGTGTATGAAATTCATTTGATGCCTCAATTCCAAAAATCTGAATTGAAGCGAAACTTTAATTACACAATTGACGCGTGCCTACTCGATTGGATTCGCCAAAATACGAGTCGTACACGGCGGATCGCGGTGTGTAAACGTACCTTAAGTAAACTAAGTATAATTACATAGGTGATTATTGAAAATTTTCCAAGCTGATTGGTTGACGTTGAGGTGATTATAACGTGATAATCACCTAAGTTTTGACTATTAAATGACGAAGAAATGTGTATTTTTTTAAAAAAATTTTCCCAAATAATCACCTATGAAATTATACTAAAACAATTATTCGCCTTAGGCTCGGTGGTTATTGTTAAATGAAAATTTCGACTTTGTCTCTGTCCCTACTCACCGATAATCACCTAGCCTTCGGCAATAAATTGTTAATTATTTCTGTTTTCTATATTTATATTGATACTTTGTAAAGGGCCCACTGTAATTGGTGTTAAGCTGTTGTGGTGTCCCAGCTTGTTTAATGCAATTATTGTATAATGTTTGGAAGCGAAGCACAATAAATAAATAAATAAATAAATTAGTATCAAGGGCATTTGCACAATCCGATCAAGTAGTTGTTAAAGCAGATCAGCTTATAAATAGAATCATTGTTGAATTAAAGGTGGCCGACCTCAACAACAGCCAAAAGCAGGCGATAGATTGGTTCAAAGACTTTATTAGCCAACTTCCAGCTGAGACCGATGTTGGTAAAGTATTTAATACCTGTATATTTGCCTTATTCATGCATATACCCGGTGTCCCAAAAGAGTTGCACAATTGTGACTTTGTGCCCTAAACCAGGACATGCACCAATAATGCCAGTATGTATAGCAATAAGTTTATTTTATTGTTATCGTGTAAACAAATTTCCATGACGGAAAACAGGTTATAGTATACACACCTGCACGTAACAAATTTAGGTTTCACATATAGATGTGCTTTTATGCAGAGTTCATATGGAAATTGTGCATATGGTGATATGTATTCGGTACAATCATAGGCTGTCCAGCAAACGCTACGTCACTCATAATGTATGTATAATAGGATAAACCTACCACCTACTAGAATGCTTACTGTTAAGTTTAGAAGAGACGATAAAGAGCTTGCTGATGCGTGTGCCGCAACAATCCAATTTCCAACATGTCATGCCACATTAGAAGCATTTAAAAAAGCGTTTGATTGTACACTTAGTGCTCAAGCAACGGGTTTTGGACGGATGTGAATGTCATATTTACAAAGCATATATCTGCAAAGGGATAGGTTACACTACATTTACTGGTTAGTTACAGAATTAACAAGCACATAATTTGTTTGTTGTTAATGTTATCTGAGTAGAACTGATATGTACTGAAATGAGTCGCTATACCTAGTCTGTTATGTGAGAAATGTACCTTGTCCATGCAGGATACCAATGTCAATGACTACTAATATTATTTTGAACAAAGGGAGTAAGTTGCCTTTTGTTTATCATAAAACCATGTAATTCTACATCTCAATGTCTTAATTTAACACATTAACATGATGGTCCACGAAGATGGAAAGTTGGAAATTTCCTGATTGAATGGAAATGGCCGTTGGCCTTGTAAATTCTGTATATGAAATATTAATCAAACGACTAATTTTAGTACATGCAGATACACTCTTGCCTCTATCGTTTTATATTCTATTGTCATTTAGTTACGCTTGACTTTGTTGAGTTATTTAATTCCATGTTAGCTTATATGTTCAGTTGAATAAAAGAGATGACTTCTAAATAGATGTCAACACCATGAACATCACTTTCTTGCAACGGGTTAATAATTGTTATTTGCAATGCTCAAGGGATTATTTGTAAACGGTATTTCAACTTGTGCAATCATGCTTAACCTGTCATCATGTGGTTCGCTTGGTGGAGGTCCATCCCAATCCACCCCATAGTCGTATTCATCTTCCTGAAACGATAATTATAGTAGTTAATTGTGATTAAACCTAAATTAAATGTCTTGAGTTAAAGAGCTGTCAGTGTCTCTTGTTAACATTAGAATGCTGTTGTTAGGGTTTGTAATCCAAGTGAGTATATATACATTTTAAGAGCTGACCAGGAACGAATGCGAAAAATGCAGCACAAGGTCCTCTGGCACAAATTGATCCTATGGCCCTGCGAATCGTAGGTTCAATTCCAACCAGAGAACCTTGTGCTGCATTTTTCGCAGTCGTTCCTGGTCAGGGTTAAAATGTATATACACTCACTTGGATTACAAACCCTAACAACAGCATTCTAATATTAATACCACCAAGTGAGGTGCAAGAAACCAGATCATTGAAGTCTCTTGTTAACACATCAGCTGGAAAAGCGCTTATACTTTTATACTTTACTGTCTGCCTCCATACAATTTTATTCGTCAGAGGATAATCTGCTAATATCATGCGTGTGTGAAACGCTCGAAGCAAGGCACTAAAATTGAGCAATATTGCAAACCATGTCTTGACTAGCCTATACTTGTTAACATACCGTGTGGAAATGAGCCCGAATGCGCCTACAGTTTCGTATTGTATTCGACTGTCTATCTCCAGACTTTTAACTGATGAGATTAATCTAGTAAGAATATTATGTTATTAAACAAACCTGACTCCACAATTCTTCAATCCCTCTGTTCCTGTTCATTATGGATCCATGAATCCAGAGTTGTAAAGGTGATTTGCCTCTTTCAGTGCTTAACGGAGCTCTATTGTGTCTGCCAGAGAAGATTTGCAAATTGCGGTTGATTCGGGGTACATAGACGTAATGTAGAGCAAATATATGCACTTCATTAGAGGGATCCAGTATCCCACATTGTTCCATATCCAGAAACAAGTAATAAAACATGTAGATGCAACCTGAAAACATGTCGCGCCATAAACGTTCAATGCGCTGGTTGTGCACGCTTCTACCAGCGATGTGGCTTCCTCTCCCTACACCACGTAGTGGGTGGCTCAACATATGCCTAGCAACGTCTACATTTTCCCCACCCTTGTCCGATCGGACTCTAGATGGCAACCCAAACTCGTCAACAGCAGTTAAGAAATATCGGAGGACTGTTGTGGCACAGTTATCAGTGCTACAACGCAAAAAGACAATCATACAAGAATAACTGTCGATGCCACCATGAATTACTAATCGCCATCTAAGGAAAAAAGGAAAGATTATATTTTTGAGCATTAACATGTTTTAAAAAAGTGCAATAACTTATCTTTATGATTTTTCTGTGTTGGTGTAATGTACTCATGTGAATATGATGCTTGTGATGTTACTCTGAGTGTATATCCACACCGGGCAAGGTTGAAAAATATGCCTGTCCACGGTGGGAATCGAACCAATGACCTTTGGACATACTCAAACCGACCTGACCGCATAGCTCAGTTGGCAGAGCATTGGGCTAGTTTAGGCCCAATGCTCTGCCAACTGAGCATTAGGCCCAATGCTCTGCTAACTGAGCTACGCGGTCAGGTCGGTTCGAGTATGTCCAAAGGTTGTAGGTTCGATTCCCACCGTGGACAGGCATATTTTTCAAGCATGACCGGTGCGGATATACACTCAGAGTAACATCACAAGCAACTTATCTTTAATTAAAATTTGTTGACAGATAAGATTGTCTCATATCACACCTGTATGTATAACTTGTAAAATTTTAGTAGCTTTCATAATTCAAGATAATAAGTACTATTGTATACTTAACAAAATTACTGACGATGAAATTAGAGTGTTTGAAGCCGAGGAACGAATTAATTAGCAAATACATATGTTCAAACCACATTTGCACCATATTTTTATAGCTGTCCAGGGACGTGCTGGGGTCTTGAAAAGGACGACGAATGAACAACGTCTGATGGGGCCCAGACACAGTAACAGATGGATCCAAATTGGGGTGGGGGTATTACTGATCAAACATGAAACATTTCAGTCGCTAATTGATCTTTTTCCCCAAAAATTGTTGGCGAGGGAGGGGGGGAGAAATTTCCTGAATTACCATTTTGCAGTAACTTTTGAATTAATGTATCGTAATTTGTTACATTTTTCGGTAATATTTTCGTAAATTTAGATTTTTAAAACTATAAATTGTAATATTTTAATCTTCATTTTCAAAATTAAAATCTATATTTTTTATCTTTTACAATGTTTTAATTTTAGGGGCCCATAATGGCAGGGGCCCCCAAGAAGTTCTCGTTCGCTCGTCCCTAGCCAGCACGTCCCTGTAGCTGCATATTATTTACTTTCAGATTACAGTATATAGAGCTTAGTACAATGTTACCACCCACCCAGGTTTGACCTAGATCCATGATATTAGACTGTTATAGTGCACCTACAAATAGCAAATTAATATTTGTAAACATCAAATAACCAGTACCAAAGTCCAAACTTTATTAACTTGTGATTCCCGTCGATGTGCCATAAAGCAAGTGGCCCAGGAACCTGGTATCTTCTACGATGTATTGTTCTAATTTCAAGAGCCCTTAAACATACCCCACTTCGATCAACTCTGCGCATGCTCTCCCTTATGCGGTTCTGTTGCAGGGGATATCCATAACTTAATAGTATTCCAGTCATTCTCCTATAACCACAGTTGGGAAATTCATGAATAAATTGGCTCACTATTTGATCTAAGTTTTCATCGCTCAATTCAGAATAAGATCGGTTGAATTGCAAATCGTACTCTCTAACCCTTCTTCTCACTGTGCTTTCACTAACGCCCATTAAAGAAGCAATTTCACCTCCTGTAAAATGCAAATCCATAAAAAATTCTAATTCTTCGCGGAAAATATGAAGGTGAGGCCTACCACACCGTCCAATAATTGACAAATGAGACTCATAAAATATAGGACGTTCGATGTCTTGGCAATGGACCATGTCTTTGGCAGATTGAATAAGCTGTAACACCGATTCACCAAAAGGTAATTGATATACATATTGAATGACAACACTGAACAACCAGTCAAGCCTAAACTGTATAAAATCACTGCTGTGAGAACCACTTTGTTGTAAAATCATCGTTACCTCCTCTATATATCGTATTAATTCCATAACCAATGTGGCACGCGCCTCTGTTTCCGCCATGTTGAAAATATCTGTGACTATGATCTGCCCCGTACCCAGGCGCTTAGCGTGCTTGCTGCCTGGAATTTCCAAGGGGGATTTCTACCAGGAGTACCAGGCGCTATATTTTATTTTTATGACATTGATCGGCGAATGCTTCCACTATATGAATAGCCATTCTTCTCTTTCTTCAAGAAGATCTTTCAGTTTTTTTTCAATTTAATTCAAAATTTAAATACTACTTAAGTTTTGTTCATTTAGTTACTGAATATATTATAAACGGCTAAGAAATTGAGGAAGCTGTTTCAGCTATCGAGGGAAGACAGCCATACAGATTATTATCGGATAATCGCCTTCAGTCCTGCTAACTATATGCCATAAAAACCTCCTATTAACCAATGCATTGTCGGAGGAACACATTAGGGTCATCTACAGGGGAGAAAATGTGTTGTTTTCTGTGATTATGGTCTTATAAATTTTTGTTAAAGCTTCTCTTAAAATGCACTAGGGAATAGCATTAATGGACCATTGAAAACAAATATCGGGGTTCTCAGTCTGTGGTTCTCAGTATTTATTTCTTAGCCTCCCCCCCATCTTTAATTGGCCATGCAAAAATCATTTACAGATTAACCTAATGTTTCTCAGCACTGTCATGGTATGCACCTCTGGTTATGCACTTGTAAGTAAGAGTTATAAACCGAGTAGGAGGTATATAACTGATATATTGACAATATATCAATATATGGGCAATATATCAGTTATAAACCGACTTACTCGGTTTATAACTAACTTATATCACACTTGCGGAGGTTTTCCAACATATTTTGTCATTTTCAAAAATTTTTAATGAAAAATTCTCGCGTTTTGTCTACAAGTTTAATCCAGTCATTTATTCAAGGTCTATAAGCTAGTTATAAACCTCGGACGAACAAAGAAAACCGACGCAAGTGTGATATAAATTATGTTATGCACTTCTAAATTATAACAACAATTTTAATCTAAGGACTAAGGGAGCGGTCATTAATTATTAGGGGGGGAGGGCCGGTAAAATATCTAAAACGAGGGCCCAAAAATGTTGACCCCCTTTCAAATTAGCGCCCAAAAATTTTAGCCCCCCCACAAAATAATAGCCCAGAAAATTGTGACCCTCCCCTTCCTTAGATAGCTTCCTTCCAATCGGTCAAGCATCAAACAGCGACATAATTTTGTGAATAAAATATGGCCATATAGTATAAAACACTCCTATACATGCATTAAATAGTACATCATTTGAAATCTTTATGTAAATTGGTCTATAGCACTGGCTCGTCCCTTCCATGTCCGGCAAACTCTACCAGACCTTATGGTCTGCAAAAGGTCGGAAATGTTTTCTTCCTCCTCCTCCTCTTCTCCCGCATCACCTTCATAAATTTGTCCTTCATCGTCGTCGGAATCAATATCATCCTCATCACTTCCAATCTCCTGCACGCAACATCGTCGTCAGCAGAATCCTGGTCGTTAATACTATCTCTGTCATCATCAGATAGTTGACGGTTATCAGGGACTAGCGACTTTGCTATGTCAAGTGATACGATATCGACTTTTTCTTGCTTTAACGCCCCGGCCTTTCGACTGCTTCAAATTTCTCATTGATATATACATGTCCAATACAACAACTTTCAGTTTCTTTATTTTTCCTACCCTGTAAATAGCTTTCCAGTTGTAATCTTCAAAGGTTTTTCTCTTTTCTTCCAGATTTGCGCGCTTTCTGCTATCTTCCCTCTTTTTTTTCCTTCTTTCTAGTTCGCGAAGATGTTCCAGGTACTGTGTAACCAGCCTTTTTTCCACCACATACTTTTTGCTGAACTCTTCCACGTCGTCATCGTCATTCATATTTCATGTTGGTCCATACTGGGAAACCTCTAGATGTATACCTTACTGTCAACCAATATGTGACTCAGACTGATCACGTATATGTTTTTATACTACAGACCATATATTTGTAAGATTTCCGTTTGTTAGATTTTATTGTACCGCATATTATTGACATGAAACAATGTACACCATATTGCTGAAATTAGCAATGAACTTTACAGGCTCGGCAAGTGAGGAAATATATGAGTATCAACTAGTTCTTATACTTGACATTACATGTATAAAATATGATTTATTATCGTTGGTGAAAGAAATTGTTCTGGTGTTGGTGAAATAAATTTCGTTTTAATTATCTCTGCATGGAAGCCTTCATTCATTATCCGTGTACGGGCCCATTGAATTGGTCATTGAAATATAACTTTTTTTACTGAAATAGGTGCCCAAATATTTGTGGTCCTCCCTAAGCTAATAGAAAGCCTCTCTAAAAAGATGTCTTAAGATCTTGCACGGACTTGTAAGTTCTAAATTATGTTATGCGGTTCTAAATTATGTTATGCACTTCTAAATTATGTTATGCACTTCCAAATTATGTTATGCGGTTCTAAATTATGTTATGCGGTTCTAAATTATGTTATGCACTTCTAAATTATGTTATGCGGTTCCAAATTATGTTATGCACTTCTAAATTATGTTATGCACTTCTAAATTATGTTATGCGGTTCTAAATTATGTTATACGGTTCTAAATTATGTTATGCGGTTCTAAATTATGTTATGCGGTTCTAAATTATGTTATGGAAGAACTCAATTTTGATTCAGACAATATAATTTAAAAGCGAATATTGACATGAATAACGCTTCATAGTTAATTCAATGGCCTATTGACTGTCAGCATTCCGAGCTTCAAGGCGTTTAGATCTCTTCTCAAAACATAAAGAGATAAATTTTGATAATTTTATCACAGTTTCTTTATCAGTTGATTTCATTATCTCAACTGATAAACTGTGTTCGTTTAAATCTGTTTCATTGGTGGGGTCACTTTCCAAAGTTTTCTCGAAGACTTCACAGGATGTATAGGCTTCACAGGATGTTAGGAAGTGATGTTCTGTTTATATGTATATTCATCCACCAGGGGGGGGGTAGGAGCTTCAATACTTTTAAAGTTCTTACATAAAGTTTCACACACAGTGATAAGAAATGTTTTCACAAAATGAAAAGGCCAAACAACTCACAAAGTTAATACAATATCGCATAGATGGTCTAAAATGTTTTGTTATGTTTGTGGTACAGCGTGTGCAGCCGATGCGAATTATTGTCACTTCTGTGGAACAAACATATCTCATATAAGTGATGCAGCATCTTTGTGTGTTGGCTGTGGACAAGAAACACCTGTGCAAGGAAACGACAGATGCGAAACGTGTATTTGCAAGAAGATCGAAGAATACTTTCATCTTGGTTATCCGTACTTCACTATCATTGATCTGTTAAAAAAGATGACATATCGCTATCTTTACGGACATTGAAAAGAAGACTGTCAGAACTAGGTCTTTTGAGAAGAGGGCAGAATGTCGACGAGGAAGCTACAATACGATTGATACATCGGGAAATTGAAGGAGCAGGTAGACTGGCAGGTTACCATAGCATTTGGCATGCTCTATGTATAAGGCATGGAGTACACATTCCACATTGGTAGCTAGGATTGTAAAGTAGATTGACCCTGAAGGAGTTGCATTTAGAAAATCTCGTTGTTTTAATGAGGCACAGATATATGTCACTTGGGCCAAATTTTTGCTGGCACATAGACGGTAAGTTAGCTGCTTGTACACCCCTCTGGAATGTGCACATCCTGGATATCCAATGGGAAGGAGGCGGTCTTCGTTAAGACTTCAATGCCCTTTAAATGAAACCAAAGCTCTTGATTTATTTCAACGTTTTGTAGAACTACAAGAATAAATCTAAAGTTTTTTGTATATCAAGCGAGAAAATTAAGTTGGACTACGTATAAAAGGCTTATCGTCTTTTCAAAGCCTAACTGTTCAAATATTGAATTTTGTATGTGTCTAATTCCATTTGAATGGCAATGCCAATTGTCAATGTGCTTTTTAATCATACAAATTTGACTGCATGCAGGGTCATCTTTCAAACTATGAGTTTATTTTTTGTGGCTAACAAATTTGCACTATGCATAAAAGGTCACCAATTGCTAAAACAAGATGGGGTCACCTTCTACATTTTAGGTCATTCCAGACTTTCCTGATGTGACCAGGTATTGGCACATGATCGATATTGCTACGCCTAAAAAGAAGTCAGAATAACCACCGGATGGAAACATAGCCTCTAATATAGCACTTAATGAAGCAGATAACCATAATTCAAACAATCAAATTATCTACATACTAGAAAATACATGCATGCAGAAACCCTCTCCTTGCTGACAAAACCATTGCATTTTCCGAACATGAAGTATCTAAAGTAGTTGTCATGGTAACACAATAATTTTTTAAGAATATTCTTACAAATGAAAAATTGCCTAAAAATACCACTTTTAATTACAAAATTATCAATTTCCCAACATTTATATGTTAGGTATGTTATTATATGTAATATAAGCTTCAATTTAAGGTAAAATTCAACCACTAACGTTTTAAAGTGTTCTTTATAAAACTAAATTGCCTTTAATTAAATCGCTTTATCGATAAACTTTGAGTTTGCAATAAAATGATTTCAAATTCTCGCTTGCAAATAACTTTGCTTTCTTTTTTATTTAAAAAATTCAATATAATAAAAAAAGGGAATCAATGACTGAAATTATATGCTGTCTTGTTTAGTTGTTTCATATATGCAAAGGCTGTCGGGTTTTAAAGCAATTATAAAATCAATATTTAAAACAAACTTACCTTTGTTAACGTCAGCTCCATTCTTTTAGCGATTCTTTCGCCGTTTCTTTCTGAGAAAGCTTTTGAAATTTACAAAATCTTGCAAAAATGAAATATTCAATTATCAAATCAAGAAATGTTTGCTATTTCGCTGTCGTCGTGCAGTCATTATAATGCAACCTTTAAATTGGACCAATCAGTGTCCACTATTCATAACAGTCCGCCATATTTTTGAGATCAGTGAGGATGATCACCCACTGAAACATCGTTGGTGAGCCACGCCCGCGATCATTGATGAACTTTAGACTTCGCTAATGCTTTTGTTTCCCCGGGTGTAAATAGCACAGGGGAATTAGTACCCTCGCACAGCTCTTCGCGCCCTCGGCTTGTTAAGCTTATCCAGGAACTCATCAATGGATATTTTAAAAAAGCCACCTGAGTTAAAAAGAAGTTGCCAAATCTTTGGTGTTTTGCCAAAACATTGCTGGAAATACCACATGCATCTAAAAGCCAGCTTTTATTTCTGGCAGCTGTGCCAGGTGATTGCCAAGTTGGTCTTTAAGGCATATTGATCTAAAACTTTATATAATGGGGGCTTAAATCATAGTTTTTGACACCTTTTTGGACCTCAATTTTCTAGAAAATTTCTTAATATTTAACACATTCCGTAATTCCAGAACCCCCTCTCCGCAAGTTACACACGCCCCCAGTAGTTCCAGCCCTGAACATAATGTTCGTATGAGCATCAGTTTTCCCAAATTCTTAACTTCCTGTTCTGCTCTAGCAATCTTAACTTCCTGTTCTGCTTCTACCAATCAGAATGCAAGGATGAATGCCATTTGCATCATATTACGACCCAATCTTTCTAATATAAATATCTCAGCGAGTATTTACCCCATTTTTAAATAAAACCCACCATTAAAATCCTCACAAAATAGCCTTTCAAACGGGGGTTCAAGTGCCGTCAAAACATTACACAAACTGAAACGATCATATATTTACTCACCGCTTGACCAAAGATTCTAAATTTCATATCCACAAAATCTTGAATATCTCTTGAACTTTTCGTCATTTGCTGAACAGCTATATGTGTAAAATACTCTTTGTATTCAAGCGCTTTTGTGTACAAAATTTCGTTTGAATATGACGAGTAGAAATATTTATTTTGAACTTTTCAAGATGTCGGGTTTTACTCGCACTTGCGTACATTGCGCAATGATTGGCCAATAAGAAGCTCCTGTGGCCAGGATGACGTCAAACTCACAGGTGTAGGTACAATTTGACCTTGCAAATCCATTTCTGGCCTTTCCAGGGTCATACGATACAAACATCGCATTGTTTTGACGGCGAAAGGTATGGCTAGTCTATATTTTTGTTCAGAAAATTGCATAATTTGATACAATATGATCGTTTTTGCCTTTCAAAGGCCCATAAATCGCTACAATGTTGATAATGACTAACTATAGGGAGGAATTAGTTAAATCTTTTATTTCTGAATCGAATGGTGGTATTTCTGTCTTCATAGCATGCAGTAAACCGAAGATATGAAATTTCTTGCCGTCATCCTCTAGAGGTTGACGAGACTGGCTTGTGATGCAAAAGAGTCATTTAAACTAAATTTGGTCAATCATATATCAATATTTGGTTGAAAAGACCAGATTTTTTCATGCAACTCTTTCTGAGATATTGCCATTTTGGTGAAAGCTCTTGAATTCAATCACGTATTCGCCATATTGCTTGGGCGTTGGGAGGTAGAAACATTGTAACAGCTTGCGCGTTAATTATTAAATGAACTTGCATACCTATATATATCATTAGTTTTTTCAATGAGAACTTTTATTTGTAAAGCAGTGACACTTTGTTTTTCATGTCACTCATCACCTAAAGGGGGCAATATCTCCATAAATTTATATAAAAACGGAAAAAATATTATTTACTAAATTAGTACATATCTATATTATAACCAATTTTCATCTATTGGGATATGAATTAGAAAATAATCAAAAATTATAAAATATACTCCTTTCCTTTTTTGGGCAAGATGTTTTTTACAACATGAAATTTAGAACAGCAACTACTAAGTGTTCAAATTCAACAAAGTGTGCAAGCCAAAACACAGTGCTTGTACATCTTTCAAGTTTTT